TAGTAGCGTGAGTATGCGTATTGTATAGAGTAAGTGTTAGTATCGTAAGTGGCGTAAGTAATAAGTTTTTTGTAAGTAGTGTAAGTAACTACATTAATATTGTATTGTAAGTAGCGTAAGTAGCATTTAAAAAGAATAAAGAAAAAAAGAAAAAAAGAAAAAAAAAAAAGTTCTGCTAAAACGGAAACAGTTTTTGGGTTTTGAAATCGCCCAACTCCTGTGATAACTTCTCTTTAATCATGCTATTTATCACGTTTCTCTAATTCTTTAGTGTTCTTTTTGTTTTAAGCTCTATTGTATTTTACTCATTTTAATTTCACGCTGTAATTTAGCAATAAATACTCTAGCTTCCTCATATTTTTACCTTACCGATTAGCGTTTCTTCTGTAGTGATGCATTTCATCTGAAACATATATTTTGAAACGGCATGTATTTATTTAAAGATCATATTTTGTGTATAAAGGTTGCTGTCGTTACTGTCTTCAATCCTTCCACAACGAAATTGATTTAGCTCAACAAAAACAAACTCAGGAAGGCATCTTTTTCGTTCCCGGAAATGTCGCTGCCTTGTTCTCAAGCCCAGTCGGTAAAGAGCGGGAAAACAGGGAGCCAGTCCCATAACCCAGCGCGCATGAGCAAGGAAGGACGCATGGGGACGAAGCAAATCTCGCCAGCCACAGAGATTGGTTCATGTTTCATTCCCAACCTGCGCAATGCAATCAAGCAAATCTCTTATATCTTAGATGTCCTGGAAGCTTCGTTTGGCAACGTTCAAGATTGAATTGAAGTGTGCATTTTGTATTGACTTCCTTCCAGTCAGCAATACTTGCAGTTTTCTATTAACTCTGAAAGAATTGTCATCACTGAGTGAAAGCGCCATTTTGTTGCACACTGTCACTTGAGACCGGGGGTAAAGTCCTTAACCCGCCACATTTCAAAACACCTCTCAACCTGCAATGTAACATGATTTCTCAATTATCAAGTGAATTACTATCACTATTAAATAACCAACTACTCACTACACGTGTTGAATTTTTTCTTTGAACAGTTGTCAAGACTCAGAAGAACAGAGCGTGTACGTTTTAACAGACAACTCCAATAAGGACCATTCAGCGAAGAGCTCAGAAGAGCACGAGGACCCAAAAGAGACTACACCTCTGACCCCTGCAGTAGATGAGCCACTGGAGACAACACCAAAAGTTTAACGCTCTTGTCCAAGGGTCAAGTTGCTTGATTTAGTTCTAGATACTGTGACTTTTTTATATATTTTTGCCTTGATTATACAACTACGTCGGTTACAATTCAAGTAGTGTTCTGGGAGATAGCAGAAGACCAAGTATTAATCAAATATAGTTGCAAAATTGAAAGGGATTGCTAGGGAAATAAAATCAAGGAGGTAACTATACTGTGGCTATGTTTAACAAAACTCATTGCAAAGCAAAGGTTATCTTACAGGAAAAATGCAAAATGGACGATGTTTCACTTAACAGAATAAGCCTTCCTCTGCTCCATTCAAACGCGTGACTAATAGGTCATTTTACAGTCGTGTGCTTAGTTACCTGGCCTATGACTGCAAGCGAGGCCGGAGTTGACCTTGCTTTGATACAGACCTCTCTGCTTTTCTCATGTAAATGCCAACCAGTTAGCATAAGAACAACTTGATTTACACAACAAAAACAGTGAGGTCTTTATCAAAACAAGGTCACCCCCAGCCTCGCTGCCATTCAAAGGCCAGGTCACTGAACAGACAACTGTAAAATGGTCTATTCTAAATATATTGGCAGTCAAGTTTACAAGTAAAACTGCATTTTATACTAAACTATAAAATACAAGATTAAGTATGCAACGTTTTGCTTCCCAAGAATCCAGAAACAACGCACGAGGACCGCACGAGAAAATCGACAGATTCACATCACCTTGACATCACGAAAATTGCGGGCTCAGTCAAGAGGCCATTTCCCAGGTGCATCATTTGCCTCTGTTTCAAAACGAGGCCTGATATTAAACTATTCAAATGGGATTGCGTTTGATAGGCATGAACATGACCTTGTGAGTTATAAACTCTTTCGTCAGAGGCTAGTCTGTCCACAGACCCTCTATTTTGTCTTGAGTTCGTCGAGATCGCAAGCTTAGCGAAATATTAACCCGGCGCTTGGGATACACGCGCTAAAACGCAAAGAGGGTAGGCCGCACCCCGCGCTCGCATCGCTCGCGCGCTCGAAGAAAAATAACTCGTAACAACAAAAATAACAATAAACGTCTGGGGACAGACTGGGTTCGATTTCCGCCGTTCTGTCGCGTCCGGTCTTTGTTCCTCTCGTTTCCCGAACAGCGGCTGGAAATCGAGGCTAGCTATGGACAGACTAGTATGATACGTACTCAACGTAACACAACATGTTGCACACATTTCGCCATCCTGTTGCACGCCACAATGTTGCGTTCAAATGATGAACATACGTTTGGCAGGGCTTTTCATGAACATATTGTGTAAATGATCAATGGTCAGGGTATAATTTGAGCAAATAACACTGTAAAACTGTGGAATGCTTCGCTACATAAATAAACAACAGCACAGTCTAGAGCCGAGGTTGCATTTATTGTATAACCGTTTCCAGTGCCGTCGTTTTTTCAATAATTATTATATATATTACTGTTGCTGCAAGCCTGGCAAAGTTAAATAGCTCAAACAACTGGTCAAATACCTCCCTGTTACATTTACAAACGTTTCAAAATCCCTATACGAGGCAATACCCACTGCCGGGCTTGAAAATGCTTCAAGGTAAAAAGGGAGAAAATTCTTAAAATGCTTTTTATGCGCCTTACAAATACGCTGACGTGTTATAAATATTGCAAATAAATTATGGAGAGTTTGTGTCACTTGCCTTTACAATATCGTGAAAATTTACATTATATTTTCCGTGAAAAGTTACCGGCATTATATTTTTTCGTTCTATAATTTAAAAATAAAACGTGTACAGGAAGCCTTTATCTTCTAAGGACATCAACTGGTAAAACTGTTCGTAATGTTGAGTTGAGGTCAACAAATACACCTTTGTAAGAGTATCACTGACTACCTCGACCGCTCGTCTGTACTAGCCTGAGCCAAGCTGTTCTCCAAAAGCACAACTTGCTCTGTAGAAACAAAAACACAAAACAAGCAAACGTAAATACACAGGAATACTAGCTCCGCTCCACAATCGTTCAAAGTTACGTTCGCACGAAATCGAGGCCTGCCTCAATTTCACGCTGGTCATCCCAGGCATTTCAAGTCTTTCTCACCTTCACTTAGTTCTCCAATAGTACTCATCTTCTGAAGAAATTCGCTGCAGATGTCGTTGTCCAGACCAAACGCCTTCATGTTATTTAAAAACGTCCTGGAGATCATTTGAAAGAAAGAGTTAGAGTTTCAAAGAGGCAAGGTGTAACAAATATCAAAGTATGCTTCAGTCCTCATATAACGCACGCAAAAACATATGACAAGTTTTATGGGTAGTTGTTGTTCAAAAGAAGACAAAAAGTTGTATCCTGACCCCAGTTTACCAAATGTGCTGTTTTTGTCGCATTCCCGGTATTCACTTTGCTCCTGAGGCGACCAGCTGTGCCACAAATCTCTAACACACAGAGATAGAGACAACAAAAAAAAACAGTCATTCGGTATAAAAGAACCGAGATACAGACTAGAGCTTACTGCTAAGACGAAAACTGCTAAGACGAAAACTACAATGTTACTACTAGTAATGAAAATGAGATTAATATTACTGGAGGAAGCGAAAGCCAATTTGGTAAAATATTCAATCGAATGACTATAAATTCAAGACCAACACAGTGAGAACTTTGTAACTGGCCAGGGTAAATACTTCGTTTTCGGTAACTTGTTAGCTGCCCTTTAATAGATTAGTTCAAGTCTAACAACACTCAGATTCAGCACACGGCTTGACTGTGCCAGTGTAATGAGGAGATGACGGAGAACACATCAAGCGCAGATCAAGCTGAGAATTTACAAACCTTGGAATTGCAGGGATCTCTCGTTCACTGTGGACAGCATCGAAAAACGCTGCGTTCCAAAACCGAAGGGATTTCCTGCATTAGAAACATTGCGAAACATCAAGGTGAATTATAATTAAAGGGTTTGTTATGTCGATACGAAGAGCTCTGGCATTACACCGACATGATGAGCGATATTTTTTCAGATCAATCTTAAAACTATTAAAATACAAAAGCCATATTTGTATAAATTGTTTAACCAACTAAAAATTAAAAATCTTTAAATTTGTCGTTGTTGCCCATCGCGGTCGCAAACAAGTCTAGTTACCTTCATGAGAATGGCTACATGTTATTCGGAAAAAAAAAGTGCAGTACAGGGCTAATTTTAGGTCAAAGTACATGTGACCTTCTCATCAGTAGAAAAACAACCACACAACACCTCCTTCTCACCAGATAGGCTGATCTCTCAGGTACGGAACAATAAACTGCCTCATCACTTCCTCGCCATCTGTTGAAAATAAAACAATAGAATTTATATGGAAATAAATATCTAACTAATCATTACACGCCGAATGGCTAAAAGACGTTCACCAGCTCTGATAAACAAGTCGCCGCGCGAGCTGGCCAGTAAATTGTGTCTGCCAGTCAATATGGGTCGGTCGGGATACACAGGCACACACAGGCGTTTAACTAATTAAAAACTCAGAATACAACTTTCTACGAGTTATTTTTTCGAGCGCAAGGGCGACCGCGACGCGGGCGAAAAAAAAAGGTTTGTTCCCAGTCCCACCCCGTTACGTTTTGACTCGTTTAAATCCCCGCGGTTAATATTTTGCTTGCGGTCTCGACGAACTCAAGACAAAATAGAGCGTCTATGGAAAGACTACGATTCACTTTGCACTTTGTTTTCTATTCGCTCTTTTAATAATATACATCTTTTCAGCCGTTTGGTCACTCGGCACATCTTAGTTTGGTTTTAGTTGTACATTTCAATCTCCTTTTTGCTTTTGTTTTTTTCCTTTTTTTTCATTTCTATACTTTCCTTATTGAAGTTGAATAAATAAAAATTTGAATCTGAAATCTTGTTTCACCTCAAGCCTCAAAATGCGACGTGTTATGCTAGTGCGCCCCCACCCCCCCGCCTCGACTATTGCTAATAGCAAATGAACGAGTGAATCCTAATTGTGTTAATAGACAATACAGAGGGTAGCCATCAGGTTAGCTAAATATTAAATGCAAATGTTTAAAATAGAACAAACCTCTGTCGACTTCAAGAAAGAACGTAAAACACATGTTCATTAAAATCTTGGCAGGTTCAAAATCATCCGCTTGGTTACATCTAACAGGGAAACGTAATAAACAACAATAAATTTTACATAAAACTGATATTGAATTGCAGTCCTATGATTCGGGCACTTAACATTCGGTGAAAAATTCCGCTTTGAATTTCCAGAAAATTCCAGTGACCAATGGCACAATACTTTCCAGAATTTACGAAAGAGGACAACCTTGCAAGGGATACCGAAATTTGCGAAAATTTCTCACTATAAATTTCCGTTCCATTTGTCTTTCCTCCCGGAATTTTCGAAATTTTGGTTGAATGGTTCGCTTTTCGTAATTCAACAATTTCCGGATTGTCTGGAACGTTTCCCCGGAAATTTCCGTACCATTTATCCCCGTTCCAAAATTTTCGGAATTTTTGGTTGAATGAAAAGCGCCTTTAGTTTCGGATTTGAAAGAATACGGAATGCTTACACAGTAAGAATTCATTTTTTCTACAAGAGGTACAACCCATTTCTTCTCAATGTGACCACCTTACACAAAAAATTAACCTCAAAAATCTCCAATCAAAAACAGCCGTTTACATATTTTCCAAATAGAACTTAAATAGAACGAAATACTAATCACTCATAAAACATAACAGAGAGTCTTTAATAAAAGTATGCGACGACCAATCAATCCTAACTCAATTCACACACGACGCAATAGCTTATCTTGTACTAAATCTAATTATTAATTAATGGCCATGAACACGAGGTCGCTTCTTTCAAAGAAAAAGGAAATTGTAATCAGTTTTCAACAATATTGTTGGTATTAACCTCGAGTCTTGATGATTCCATAAAAATTCTCTATTTAGCGACGGATCTTTAGCAGATCATTACTTTGAAAGGTGAGAATGACGTGTTAACTTAATACCGATCAGCATTAGAGAAAAATGGTAATCGCTACACTCTGCAATCTGCACGGATATCTTTAAAATCAGTTTTCGAATTCGAAAACGCGACCTTTGATTTACAAAAGTAGAACAATCGCGATTGTATTCTTAATACGCAACTCCTATAAAACAGACCCGAGTGCGAATTGATGAATAATGTAAAGAAAAACATTCTGGTTTCTTTTTTTTTGTAGATCACAATCTGAAGAACGTTCACCAACGAACATGGAGCTGGTATGTAAAAAAATGTAAACGCGCCGCGAGAGAATTAAATATAAATGTTTCTTTTTAGATTTTTACATCAGTTTACGTGTAACGGGCTTCCTAATCAATAACATGTACGTTCACTGTCACCACGAAAACCATTAACAACAAGACAACTATTGTGCTACACGCAATTAGCCTCAATTATTAATTAATAATTAACTGCAAGCTAAACAAACGGGTTCTCGTGATAGTTGAGCTGTAGGATCCAAACATAAAGCAGGGTTATTTTCGGTATTAAAAACACAGTGAGATATGAGCCACTTGGGCAAATTAAAGCCCTCGCAACTGTATATTTACGATCGACTCGGACGAGACAAAAAGGAAGCGGACGAAAGAAGCAGGGCGGACATGGAGGAAGCCCAGCATTCAACTGAATTAACCCAGGATTACAAAATACAGCTCAAGGACGACGGGCTGGGGAAATACAAGATAAGTCCGCTGGGATATCTCAAAGATCCAAAAGAAATGGTAAGAATCGACTGGAGAATTTGCTAAGAAATCTAATAGATAATTCTTTAAAAAAATTACCAAGCACAGCTGAAGAATTTTTTGTGTGTGTGCATTGTTTTGTTTTACACTGTAGTTGGGTAAATTTCGTTAATGCGAAATTCTTCTGCGTACATGTACATGTTAACAGCAGCGAAAACAAAACAAAATTACCTTTAAAAACATTTCAAAACAACAAGTATCCGACTACAGGAATCATTTATGGTCTCTTCTGCAAAGAAAACTCATATAATCAGCTTGCTAATCAAAAATAACTTATTGTTATTCCATGCTGCGTTTTTCTCCTTTTCTTTTCGCGCTGCGGGCAGTATTTTAACGTCTTGCGAATTGAAAATAACCCGTTCTTAATTTATTTCATCAATTTGTTTTCCCACTTTTGAAAAACCAATGGGTTTCAAAAAATCATAAAAATACGTTTATTTTTTAAACAGTTACGTCTTAAACAATTTTAACATATCTTAGAGTCGCACTTGGTACTTTAAAATGAAACCAGTAAAAATTTATAGCGGAGCTCTGGCGGCCACAAGGGCCGCCAAGCGGAGCCCCATACTCATATAGGAAAGAAACGGAAACCCATGAGTTGATTTTCTCATGGTTATCATGGCTAGCGGTTTTGCTCGTGGGCGCGTACGCACGACGACGGCGACGACGGAGTCGCGCAACATGGCGGCCATACTCCAAATAATAGGTTGACAGAGACATGCAGCCTTGGTTTACCGTGTACTTCTTTGAAATTGGACATCCATGTTATGATCAATTGACATCTGTCAAAACAAGGTATCCGCTGACCAGTATCACGTGACCATATTGCGGGTTCAAGTTTACAGTTCATCGAGGTCACGTGTTTTTTTGAAGTTGACCGCCAACCAAGTGCTGGTTTTCGATTGGATCGCGGGCTCATGTCAGGTTAACTTTTTGAAAACAGGGCGGGATTGTTCGGAAGCTGGTTAACGCTAACCCAGGATTAAAAGTCAACCGAATTATAACGTTTTCTTCTACTGACAAATGTGTTTTGCTGCTTTGTTTTGTGTATATGGTGATTATTAAAACTCAAAACAGAAGGTCAAACAATATACAGAAAACTTCACCGTAAAGTTACAAAACTCAAATCAAAATTCTGCCTTTTCCTGTTAGCTTAATCCGGCTCTGAACAGCCCGGCCCAGGAGCTCCGCTTTTAGGCTGGCCTAAATCTATATATATTACCAAATCGTACGCAGTGCATTCTGTGAAACTACACGCACAATAGCTACATGCAGATGAACACTAGATGAACTTAGACTCTTACTTGAGTAATACTAAAATCAATGTAGAACGTTAAACAAAAATGTCAACCCCAAGTATCTTCTTGTATATTCAAAATGATGCAATGTGTACAGAAGTTTTTTTAGTCATAGATGTAATCGACGGTCATTCACTCCATCATTCACTCCGTCACTCCATCATTCACTCACTTTGTAGGAGACTGCAAGAGGAGGCGTTCATACCACAAATGGGGTGAGTTCCAAACAACCACGACGCACACAGGTCTAACAGTACTGTATCTGCTTGCCCGTGTCCAACATTTTTGCCGATATAAGCATGTTACATTTGGAATATTCAGGCTCGAAAAGTGGTAGAAAACTCGAGTTCCTTGTGTAATCACTGCATTATCATGCATACACGTAACAAAAAGCACTGAGCTGTTCCAAAGACATTGTGAATTCTGGATACATAACAAATCCCCTTTGTTCACAAGCCCTGCTTGGAGCAGGGCACTTGAATGTTCTCTGTTCAATACCAGAATGAATTAACTTGAGATGTTAGCGACTAAGCCCTAGTTCACACGAGCGACATGACATCATAACGACATAAACAGTGTTATGTTTGCAATGTGAACATCCTGAACATAATGACATAATAGCATGAACATAACGGCATAGGGACAAAAAGCTGCTCTTTTCCTTATGTCTTTATACCGATGTTCACTTTAGCGACATAAGCGAGCATAAGCGATTATGTCGTTATGCCATTATGTCATTACATGTATGTCGTTATGTCGCTAGTGTGAACCAGGCCTAACTTTCATTGAAACTCAATTTCAGGAAAAACGGTCCACAAACAGCGTCACAAAGAAAAAGGTGAGACTTTCTTGTAACTTGTTTGGCTAAATGATACTACAGACTAGCTGCTCTATAACAAACTAATGCTATACCAAGGGGTATTAGAGTGGTTTTTAAATGAGCATCGTAAGACCAAAACCAAACCAATTTCTTACCAATCAGACTACTCAGCCAATCTCAACCTGTAGTAAAACCAAAACCAAAACCAAAGTAATTGTCTAATTACTTTTGACACTCAATTGAAAATCGACTCACAATGCCTATAACTCCTCTAGCTAGTGTGAGTTTGGAGACTGAAAATATATACATTTTGCAACAGGTCAGGTGAACATTTAAATTGGTATAATTGTCCTTTTCACAGCTCAGTGTTACACTGACGCCATCATCCAAACAAATGACGTTTTCCAAAATAGTATATAACATCTTGACATACAATGCCTCTGATGTCACACTAACAAAGTATTGCTCCACGTTTGCAATATCTTTCATTGGATCAATATTTTTGGCAACTGCCAGATGATTGCTTTGCGCGAAGCACAAGTCTCAGGGTAGCATTTAAATGTTGTTAAGTAAAGTGGTCTAACTCTGCAAACCTACTTAATTATCTAGGATATATTTTTTATCATTTTGTACTGTAGTCAAGTAGTCTAGGTTTGAAAAAGTTCAGAAAACTCTAGATAACACGAGAAACCTTCCCATTACATTTTCTGTCCCGGTAATCTTGAAGTTGTACATTTATTTGACTTGCAAATAAAACAAGTCAACTGGGCTGAAGTCTATTATAGAGAAACAAGTAAACAAAATGGGCAAACACACTTACTCAAATAAAACAATTGCAAAATATTGCACAAGCCTGAAGAAGATGGTTTCTGGTACACTCTTGCTGTAGGCTCTCTGGTGAAATAACCAATATTGATTCTGTCATAAGTGTTATCTTTGCTGGCTTAATATATAAAACTTACAATGTGTGGTGGGTGGCTCAATGATCTAATGCTTAACAATGCTGGACCACAACTTACATTGTTATACCTCCTAACTCAAATACGTTTTCTGATTGGAGGAGAACGTGTCACGTGTCGTGGGTCAAAACTCACTAATTCCCTAGGGAAACAACAACTTGAACTTTCGACTTGCCTGTGATCAGGTCGTGCTCCTTAAAACCACAGCAAATTTGTGTCCCAGCTGGCGTCAAGTAATTTCTTTGCAGTTTTTTCTATTTTTGAGTTGGGAGGTATAACAAAACACGTAATGACTGGTCCCACGGAAAACAGTGAGTTTTGTTTCCCCTTGACCTCAATGTTGAAGGTCTCAAGGAAACACAGTTTCCCTTGAGGCCAGTCATTAAGTGCTTAGTGCATAGTTCATGTGGCAGGTTCAACGACTGAATTTATAGTTATTGACGGTGTTGGACTGCAGCTTGACCTGTCCATTGCTTAATGGAAGTTCATGATGTTAAGTAAAAAAGAAACAACTAGAAGAAACCATGAATACATGTGTACATGAACACCTGTCCCTCCTTTCACCTTCTGGCAGGCTTGCCAGCGAGTAAGTACACACAGAACTTCAGTCAAGCAATGGAACTTACGTCAAGCATGATAGGTTTTGGAATTTTTGCAAAATTAAATTTGTATGCTTCTGAAAAATGACCTCTCCCGTACTACAGGTGTAGCAGTAGTAGATGTATAGCAATATTAATGACAGAAAGATACTCCAGATGCTACTAACACCACCCCCCACCTCCCCACCCCCACCCCCCATCTATGACAAGAGTAATTCCTTACAAATAATGATTATCGAATTAATAACAAAACATTTCTTTGTTTATTAATTTACATAACCAACAGATGCTTTAGCTCTTACATAACATGGCACACAGCAGCCCACAAAAACATTTCAGTAGTGAACTCTGCACAAAAACCTACTGTTTAGAATACAGCACTGTGTTGACCTAAAACAGACTAATACCTGGTTGTCGACATGTTTTGAGAAGGAAAGGCGCCCAGCACTATGCTGCAAATAAATGTGCAGAATGACTGTCAGTGTTTTACATATATTAAAAGATCTTTTGCATTCAAAATACAATTCAAAAAAATTTGGGTTCTGTGTTCAAGAACCAAAACTGACAAAAATTATTTATTTAAATTGTATAATTTAACTTTGTCTAACTAAAAGAAGAAATCAACTTTCACAAAGACAACTTGTAGGCCCCTAATCAACTAATTATCTGAAATATGTGGACTGAGGTTTATTTTCAATAGTGTAAAGTTCTACAGTTTTACTTGTTCCGACCACAGTCAAAGAGTGGGCTTTACATGTGCAGTCTGGGCTTTACATGTACTATCCCTGCTGGTGGTAATCATGTGTTAATTATAATTGGGTTCTAATGAGTAAGAACTTTCCTCTCTATGTCTATCTCCAACCAGCTTTTAAATGGGTACTTGCATTTAAATTAAATCCAATGAGGTGCATGTATATCCCATCCACAGGAATAGGTTATTATAAGTGGATTGAGGTTATTGTTAGAAACCAGAGGTACATTCTAGGCTTGCATTAAAGTCACTATTAGGCTCAAATAAAGACTTGATCTATATGTAGCAGTTGCAGTGTTTTGAAATGCAAAGTACAACTGTAATCACATTTAACCAATTACCTGATTAAGGATTCCAAACTTTAGCTTCTCTTCCTGTGAAATAACACTCCTTATGAAAAAAAAATTAGCCAAAAGCAAATTAAAACCAAAAACAGTAATGTTAAACTCAGCTTTTTATAGCTAAGTACAACTGATATTAAATAATACTTCTTGCAACACACCTGTCTCAGTCAATGACACTAAAGGGTCAGACTGCTGAGTGTCAACTGGCACAATGGACTGAGATGACTGAAGTGAACATTACAGCTCAGTTCAGAGATAAGCCCACAAATTCATTCCAAAAAAACGCACTAAGGTGTGTGTATGCAGAAGAAATCAAAAATGCATATATAGTAAAATTTACATGTAAGCTCATTAGTATGTGCACACATGGTTGCTTATGTTCAATTGTTTCTAGTTTCTTTGGGTTAAGGTGAACTGTCCATAAAATTATAGAGAAGTGTTGGAGAGGTTTCAGATAACAAAACCAACAAGTTCAATCTGCTCCCTCTGATGATTTGATGGCATTTGTATCTGTTGAACTGCAAAAACTCCTTTAACAGACACCTTGCCTTTAAAACTTGTCTGGAATCCTGATATAGGGGTGTCCATAATATGGATGCAATCAGAGGGAGAGGTTATTCGCTAAATGCAATTATAGAAATTTATGAGAGTACCATAATGTACTATTACATGTAGGTTCCACTGTACTAGCAACAAAGAATTGTCTGACCTACAGTAAGTACTACACGTTTCACTTTCTTGCTTGTAAAACTGGCCTTTTTCATTCATTAAACAAAGGAAAGAAGAACTACAATTCAATATTAAATTAAATTTGATTTAAAATCACTGATTGATGTTACACTGCACTGTAATTCTGTACAATAACTGTAAATTTCACTGGAGTCTTACTTGAGGAGCAATCATACATCTGTTGCCTACAGTGTAGTTTAACATGTATTTTAGGTCAGAATGATTTCAAACTACAGTTGGACCCTGCTAATATTTGGCTATTTCAAATTCCCCCTTATTTTGAACACAAAACTTTTTCCCTTGAATTTGCTTTTCACTCATTTGCTATCGGTTATTTTGAACTCCGGCTATTTCAAATTATTTTTTGTTTCCCCTGAGAGATCAAAATAGCGAGGTTCAACTGTTACTGTCAGCGGACTGTTTAATTTACATCAAAGGGACAGGAGGAGTCTGGGACCAATAACTTATTAGATCAACAAATATGAGGAAATTTGCAGTGATTGCTCGCAAGGCCTAAACGGAGATGAAGATGATCTACAAAATCAGAGATCAGGTGTTTTAATCTAGTTGGGTACAAAATAAAAAAAAAAATGAGATATGGAAGGGGAGATATGGGATCCTGGTAGTGTAGGGTGAGGAACTGATGGGGATGGGCGCTGTGCACATTATTCTGTTTAAGAACACCCCAAAAAATTGAAAACCAAAAAAAGTAAACTGGTTTGAAAAATTTAACCTACGTGTAAGTTGAAATCACTCTGACCTAAAATATATTTTACACTATGACACATCCACAACTTAATGTCAGTGGACTGACAGCCATCTAATCAATGTATAGCCAGCCAATTACCGGTAGCCATGTTCTAAATGAGCAAGGGACCAGCTGGTATAAATATTCAAAATTGATTCATTTGAAAAACTGAGCCTTGTACCTAAAAGGGCCGTCTACAAGTTAAATATGTTTACCAAACATAAGTCAGAGTGTTTTTGGCTCAAACACAAAGATGTTAGTAATACACTCTTTGGAAAGCTGTGTGATTTAAAAGAGCTTATGGTTTGGAGGGACAGGTGTCCCCTGCTTGTTTAGAACATAGCTAATTATTGTGACTACATGTACATTTATGCCCAAATTTCTAAATGCTCAGTCAGATTAAGATCTTTCTGAAGAGTGCTTAATTTAATATTGTCACCCCAATAATACCATCCAGGTATTTATGGCTCATTTGTAACTAGAATATCACAAATTTGGGCAATTCGATTCAGTAGGACATTTATTTAAATATTTATTATTACCTTTTTATTATTTACTAATAGTGGTGTGCATAAATGTGCATATTTTTCCTTGCTTAACTTATTACCTTTTAGTTACGTTATTATTTCAACAAAACAAAACTTAAATCTAATTTTTTTATATATATATAGCAACACAGTCAAGTACAACATTAATACTCTTTAATAGTCCCTTAATGTAAACCAAAATAACTGCAAATTCATTTTACCTGTTTTGAGTGTACTTTTCAATCTGGCAAGAATCATTATTTATCTACTTATTACTAATAAGTACAGTGCAACTTTGATATAAAAAACTCTTATATGACAAAGTCCTTGGTATAACAAATGATATTATTCACCCAGTAGTAAAAGAAATGTACGGAAAAAAAACACAATACATGTATAAAAAATTAGACATTATTATAGCAAACATATTTTGCCAGTCCCTTGGCTCTTTGTTATATCAACTGAAGATTCCACTGTATAGTCACCCTTCCAAAGAGATCCCTTTGCATTTACATGTACTGTCAGTGCTAGTATTTTAACTTACTCTTCTAGGAATATCTTTGCTACAAATTCCTTCATGAAATCGTCACACTCCTGTTCAAACAGTTCAGTCTCTTCCTCATAGCCACCTTCTGACCCATCTAGTGAAAATAAAATCACATGTTACATATAATTTACATGTACCCAGAGGGAAGAAGCAAAACAAAAAATCTTAGCAAAGCAATAATATTATGATCAAGAAACAAAGAATATTTTACATTTCTTGCAAGAAACTAAAATAAATAAAATAAAATTACCTCAGTCCACCTGTTACTAGTGATTATATCATTTAAACACTGTCTGGAAATTTCACGTTCTAAAAATCCAGGGATTTTGCTAAATCCTTCCAAGCTTACATGTACATGTAGTTCTTAGAGCCAAACATATGAGATAGTACAGTGTACATATTGCTTACCCATCATTTGAAACATCAATATATAAAATTCAATCTTAGTACATGGTACCTTTTTTTATCTTAGCACTCCTTTTTAGCCAGAAAACTTGCTTGAGCTTGTGCATATTTCATCAACCAGTGAGTATTGACCCTTTGAACGTCTTTTTAGAAAATCAGTTAAGTTTAAATTTCTTGCTCAAGATGGAACCAGATATTGGTTGCAACTCCTACACTGTAGCAGCAGCTCAAATGCATGAAAATAATATCAAATTTTGTCGTTAACTGTTAATTTGAATAATTATTATATAAATTATTTATACACATTGTGACAAGTAGCACATGAATAAAAGAGATCAACATAACAATAAAATGTTGGACATAAGACATTCTTGACTATAGATCTCAAAAAAATCAAAACATGTAAAAAAAAATACATACATTGTAGACAAGACATTCTTGACTTCCACTTAAAATCATCATTGGTACTATTTTTAAAATTAGAACATTTAGAAACTGTTACATATCCAAATAATGATCAAATCTGTTACCATGACTTCAGATCACATGTCACAGGAATGTGAAACAATATTTATTTGCTTTACTCTTAAGTCCGTTTACTATCTGACAAAGTTTAGATATTCAGGTAGAGATGAGAAAAATCAAATACACCTATCAAGTATATATGTGGCTGCTTATATGTTTTGGTTTAATCTCATTTTGGTTGCTGTTGATTCGATCTTTTATAAAACCAGTTGGATCTTTGTTTCCTTTGTTCTAAGAGAAATTATGTGTATATGGTTATCATACTGGATATGTGACAAATTACTCTAGAGAAACAAAGTGGTTTGAAATTTAAACCATATCACATGTTCGTGTATAGAGCTGAAGCAGTAACTATGAGTTTCAAATTTAAACAAAGCACAAGGACAAGAATCTGTGGTAGCTCAGAACTTTCGCAACTCTCTTACAATAAGCTCTGATATACATGTACAGACTGGTTGCTGGTTACCATTGGTGCTATTACGAGTTTACACTATAACTGCAAACAGCCAAACCTTAAAGCACTATTTAGGCTAACTTGAGTGCTACATGTAACACCACTAAGGCTAACAGGAGCACTATTATTCAGGCTAACCAGAGTGTAATTGTCAGGCTAACCAAGGGTGCCAAGAATAATAACCAAATATCAGGCATGTCCTTCTGGCAAGCTGTAACTATGATGTACTACCCAAAAGGTTTTCTTTCCAGTTCCCAGACTTATTCTTTACTTAAAATTTATTCTTGCTTATCGGGCAAGCAAAGGATAGAATGATTGTGTAGTTCCGTAAATATCAATACCTCCCCTACAGTGGGAATTTTCTTCTTGAGACCCTCCACCCCTCATGGAATTATCTTAAAAGCTTGACACATTTCATTAAATGTTTTGGTCTCACCCCCCAGGAAATTCTAATCCCTACTGTGGGGGAGTATGGATATTTTCTGGAACTGCAAAATGCATTAGCCCAACTGAAAATTCACTCCATGTAGCCCTGGCTGATGAGACACACAACTTTCTCTGCACATTGTAAACTGAGCACTAAACAGAGGCTAATCAAAAAGCTATTTTTACAATACCTGTCTAATTTCTCACACACTGATCGGCTCATTTTTATCATCAATTAGAGTACACATGGATAAAATTTTAATTTATACAAGCTTTCAAGTTTAACTTTCAGCTGTCAAACTGTCAACTTTTTAACCAATGAGATTTTATGAACTTTTTCAAGAAGCCAATCAAAAAGCGAGAAAAGCTATTGACAATGTTCGCGTCATTTTGAATAAAATTCACTTATCTTTGTTTATGGAAAGTTTACGGTGTCTTTTCCCCTCATTTATTCCCAGCATTTGATCATTTCGGAGTATTGTTGTTCTAGAAAACAAATTGACAACAGTTTTTTATGCGGCTGTCCTCTTGTTAGTGATAAATTTTGTCATAACATTGCCAACGTTTACTGCTGAACCACTCAATTGCGGCTTGTGCCTCCACAGCCACTTTGACAATGTTATGAAGCAACTCATCATCAATAAGAGCACTGACGCATAAAAAATTGACATCAATTTGTTAATTTTAAATGTAGGCTAACCAAAGTGCTATTGTAGTTACATGTATTATATTTATTGTATAATTTAAAATATTCTATTACATAGTAATAAATGTCTCAGTGAGTAGTGACTCTTAGACTCGAATCTTAAAATCAAGCTTATTGTAAAAACCGTACAAATGAAGCTAAACATACTTATAATAAATTTCTTAGTAACATATTAATAATTAGTAATAAATTTCTTATTACATGTAGCTAGGGTCTGGGATGTTCATAAATTATAAATCAAGATAGCTTTTATCAGCTGAGTTTATAGTTGCACAAGGTTAACAATACTGCACTCATCACGGATTATCGCATGGAAGGACAAAAGTATTGAATACATGTATCAATAACCTTTACAGATAAATCTTACATGACTATCAAAAAGTTATGACTGACTTACCACTGTGATCTGCCCATTCCTTCATATCACGCGAGAGATTCGCCGTCATCCAGGCAGTAAGGGCAGAATCATTTTTGCTCCATTGAAAATACAATGAAAGGACGCCAGAAATTACGTCTTTATAATAAACAAAACAGGAAAACACAACTAGCGGAAATACCTTTGATTTTTTTGTGTCCAGTCCCCCTCGTCAACATCTGTTGACCAATGCGCATATAGCATTTAGAAAAACAGCTGTCCTTTATTAGCGGGGCTCAGAAAACTCTCCCACCATACATAGCGGGTCCGTTCCGTGGCAACGTTGCTGAAAAACAAGTGCAAGAAGAAGAGAAAATGGTGGGAATTTTAGTTGGCTTTCTCATGTTTTGACTCTTTGTGGTCATGTCTAAATACGATATTTTTCTTTTTGGCAGTCTGAAGTCGAGGAGTCGCTGAAAAGAATCCAGAGCCATAAGGGCGTTATCGGAATAATCGTCGTCAACGTTGAAGGTATAACTATAAGTCCATCTCAGTTTCTTGTGTTTGAAACCCGCGAGCTAAGTTCATTTGCTTAATGCTCTTCTTTTTTTATAGGCATTCCTATTAGAACTACAATGGATAACTCGACGACTGTTCAATACGCTGGGTTAATTCATCAGTTGACAGCTAAAGCTCGAAGCACAGTTCGAGACATCGATCCGCAGGTAAAAGAAATATAAAATATATCGTTATGTTTTAATGCTGTAGAAAGTATAGATTGCATTTGTTGTTTCTCATCCAAAAAGGAATGTGATATGTGCTATCAAAGTATTGAGTTGACTGTATCAAATATAACGCTTGTTTGCGGATAGCAAAAGAAAATGTTTAATGCATCACAATAAGCTTGAAATTCACACCATCCAGCACACAAAGACGACAGTTTTGACCATTACATGACCATTTTTTGAAAGGGGAGCATGGATTTTTGATCATTCCAAAATCCTGCTAGATGATGCATACAGCTGTGATGAGAAGTCCATGCACTAGGGCTTCTATCTACACTGAATAGAGGGCCTGTATATGAGTGGCTAGTTGACTACGAGTGGCTAGGCAACTCAGTAGTAGAAGCATTACTTGAGGGCCATTCCATTTAATATCCACACTCCCTTATTGATGAGGTCATTTGACTGCCAACCCCCTAAGAAAAGATCAAAGTGCCAACCCTATTTTTTAAAGACCCCTCAGGGAAAAATACAAGGTACTGTAACCTTGTGACGGTCTAGAAATTTTAGATCTTCCCAATACTGACCCTCGGAAAATCTCAAAAGCATCCTCATGATCTTCGGAAATTTTCGACTTATGCCTTATACCCCTCAGAAAATTTCGTCTACGGACTGTGACCTTAAGGAATTTTGACTTTCCCTTCTACCCTTTCAGAAATGTTGTCAACAGAGGGGTGTGTGGTAAAAAAAATGAAATGGCCCTGAGTGGCTTGGGGGCTTGGTAGTCAAATGAAAGAGCTAAAAGAATATATATTCTTTATATCATATGCCCCTAAAATATAAATCTAAATCTTCTGAAACTCTTATTGTGACTGGTCAGCCGTCCAGCTTCTCCAATATACATGTACAGTTTACTGAATACTGAATGCAATGAGGAGCCACTAAGCCATCAAGCCACTGGCACTGCTGTGCTGCTGAGTTGTCAAGCCCCTTAGATATATACATGTGCATATACCTTACCCATTCTTTAAACTCTCAATGTCACCCATGAGCCACCAAGTCACTTCAGTACAACTTGTTTTGATGTGGCCCTGCATAATGTGTGTTGTAATACTTATGTCTAGAACTAAACCCTGGATGCCATAGGTTTCTAATTTTCTTTTCTAAGAGCTGAGCAGCATGCTTCAAAAGGCATTCACAATAGAAATAAAATTAATGAAATAAAATAAGTATCTTAATTGACCACTCTCCCTGTGGGGCTTTTCAGGGCCAATGAAACCAATTGATGAAACAAATAATGCAAATGAACATAAAATGGTTAAAATCCCAACTGGCAGGAGGCAGACCAGTTTGCTATTCACAAGCGTGGCTGAGGAGTTGAACTCGGGGCTACCGAGAAAAAACTCCAGCTTAGTGGTCAGAACGGGACTTGAACTGGTGACCTCCGGATTTCAAGTCCGGCACCAAAACCACTCACTCAAGCTGTGTCCTGGAAGAGAGAAGACAAAAAAGGCCTTGGTCATCGTGGCATAGTTTTGCTGCTTTGCTCCTCATGGTTCATACAATTCACATGAGAAAAAAAATAGGCTAGGCTTCATGTTCATGTAGAATGGCTTATAGTAGCAGAGTAGCAAGCTACCTGGTTTTTTTACTTATCTTAGTCTCAATTTTTTGACTGACTTGATGTTTTTTGTTCACGAACCTTGACACATACACTATAAGAGTTGGCTTATCAACTGAATGCAAAATATTCTCTTAACTATATAAAAGAATTAATTTCGCCCTTACATTCTTTTACGAACCTTTTGCCTGTCATTTGGATCTGTGATCCAAACATTTCCAACAGCATACAAAAACTATTGTCTAAAACTTGCATCTACAGTAGCTTTATTTGTAGATGTTATAATCTGTTGTTAAATCTACGTGTATTTTGCCTGTCTCAGTTGCCTATAATTATTGTAATGATATGGTTTGTCTTCAGAACGATTTGACATTTCTCAGGGTCCGTTCAAAGAAACATGAAATTCTGGTTGCTCCTGGTAAGTTCCCTTGTTAAGTATGGTTGTCACCCAGGGAGGAACTCCCATGAAAAGGTTGGGGATGCTTGTCAGAAAATTTGAATTAAACCTCTTAACGAGACCAATCTAGGCATGGTTCGGTAGCATTTAAACTCTGAAAGATACTACTTGAAGCAGACAGACACCTTGTTTATTATTTCTTTGAATACAACCCTAAAAGATACCATGATGGCTAAAAATAGTGGCATTTCATCCTGAACATTTTAAGCGGGACCAAAATCTGTGATTTCAGGTGAAAACACTTTTGATGCCCTGTTGCAATTTTGATTATTTGTTAGTGATAGTACAGTTTGAAGTGTATACACTCAGGTGTGCATGTACTGTGAGTTGTGTTTTCTCCCATTGGTAGACTTCGAATTGGATTTACTTTCTTTAATTTGTAAATTATTTGTAATAACATCTAGGTTTCTTTCTATTGATTGATTTCTTTCTCTGGAGGAACATTTTTCATTGCTTGTTCTGCTCAAGAATTGGTCTAGAAAATTCCTGATTCTGCTTTGAACAACATTGCTACATGTAAGTGCCCCATACTGCCAAAAATGACCTACCATATTCCACTCAGAATTTATGCAAGCAGAATGATATATGTATGTGAACTGTAGGTAGCAATGTACACAAAACCCACTTTCTGTCATAGCTGGTCGTGTGATGCATGTAACCCTCAGACCCGTGATGCAATTTTCAACAGTGTTGTCCTACATCAGAATTTCTTGTTTGTGTTTCAGATAAAGAGTACCTGATGATAGTTATTCAAAATCCAAGCCAGTAGAAGAGGAACATTTCACAACCATTTCCTTTGTAAATACAACTCTGCATCTCAGTTTAATGTTTATGCTATTTTCTATAGGGTTCACCTACCTTAAGCAATGTTTATTTTGCCAAAAATACTACAAACCTTTTTTGGATAATTTAATACCAGTGTTTTATTAAAGTACATGAGTTGATTAAAGACACCTCAAGGCAAACTTGCATTCCTCATTTCCCTACAGTGTAGCTGGCTTTATTCAATACTGTCACTGTAGCTGTAAATTACAATAAAATTTATAACATGTAGACCTTTGTGTTGCTTTTAGTTGCATCCTTGAATTGACTTACAACTGCCTACCCTTTGCATTTAAGATTCTCTTGTGTTACCATGGTAAATTGTTTGACTCCTGGGGTAAGGACTGTACAAGTGTGCAGGATACAAATCTATGTCAAGCCTGAATTGCTAAGTAACCGGCATATCGATAATTTTATTAGCCTACTTTAATTTACCGCACAGTCACTAAGCACTTTGGCCAAAGACTGTGAGATAAACATGTTGATGCACTGGTGATGCACTGTTTCCCGAGTGCATCACCAGGGCCAGGTGTTTTGAAAACTGATAAACACTAATCCAGAGTTAAAACTTGGCTAAGCTGTTAAGGCATGACTCACGTGGCAAGTTTATACAGCAATGGCTGTGATTTGTGCCAACTATGACTGTGATTTTTACCAGTGAATCTGATTCCCATGATGTCTTTTCAAAATCCCATATATCTGATATTGTTCATTTCCAGAAAATATCCATACCCACCCTAAGGAAGGTTAACAGAAATTCCAAGGGGGAGGGGGTTTCAAAAGCCCAATTTTTTAAAGGAAAGTACATGGATGACACTAAAATGAAATTTCTGGAGGGGTATGGATATTTTCTAGAACAACACATTAGCATGTGTCGCAGCTGCTTCTCCCCAATTAAACTCCAGGATCAGTTAGGTTACTGTACACCTTTAGAGGTGTCTCACATCCAAACAATGTAGTGCATCTAGTGTAAACTGTTGATACCCTAAACCTGTAAATGAAATTAAGGCTTATACAGCTTTTCATTAGACTATACCAAGAATTTTGAAATATAATAAATTGTCAAATAAGCTTTAATTTGATATAGGGGTCTAGGTATCCACAGTTTAAACCGGATGTGCTACATTGCAAGACACCGAAAACTATACGATAACCTTTAAATGAACCATTTGGTATACTTTGGAGCTTGGACTGCTTTTCAGCTAAGATTCTCTTTAAACATTTGGTAGCGCAACTTTCATTTTAGTAGCCACAGTCTGTCTTGACTTGCCTGTGATGGCATTTATTTAACCTGTCATATATCTCAGTTTGTTTACCACACAAAAAGCACTGGCCATTTTCAGAACTTTATCTTGCCTTTTTACATGTACATGTAAAGTTAATGTTAATAAATTATTTTTAGTTACTGATACTACAATATATTATTTGTCGTACATTTTGGCATCAATACCTTAAATACATTACCAATATTTTCTTTCAAAAAAATTCTGCTTCATTTTCCTTTTTTATGATAGTGGTAAATAAATTAGGTACTGGTAGATGAAAGCATTTTACACCTTTTGCTACATGTATAAAGCAGCATTATTCAAATGATACTCAAATAAATTACCATGTATGTTAGATGAATTATTTTCACTTGTGTCATTATGATGCAAATCCTAAACATTTTCTTCTACACCAACATGGAATAATATTAAGAAATATTTTAGGAAGTAGATAAGAAGTACCTTTGCTACTCTTGTTTCATCCATTTAATGGCTGCTCGTTCCTAAAGGAATTTTTAACTTTGGAAAATAGATACATTTATGCCCGATGAAATTAAATGGCATCTCTTTGTCATATCCAAAAATAACAGTCTAACATATTCAAGCAGGCTTTGATATCAACATTATTCTGAGCTTTGAGTGAACAAGTATTGACAAGCTATTGAGACGGCTTCCAAAGTCAGATTTATCCCTATTATTATAAATTAAGCCATGAAATGGTAAATGTAATGTTTAGCACAGCCAGGAAACCTTTGCATTAATTTATTCTTTAAATATTATTATAACTTGCCAGTAACTTGTTAAACCAGAGTCGGCCAACTATTTCATATTTAGTAATTATTTGTAATTATTTTAGTAATTATAATCAGCCATCTCCAGACACACCGTAGAAATTTATTAACAAACTAGATGTCTTTGGTCATCTTCAACTACGAAGGACGAACAACAACAGTAATTATTTGATTTTAGTTTTCTTATATGAATCACATTGCAGGGAAGGGTAAGTATCTTTTTTGTATGCTTACTTAACAACTTGCCATTACATATTACATATTATGTGACATAAAACAAACTTTCTGTACAAAACATTAGGCTCATTTAGCAAGAGAATGGGAACGTCACTTGACAATGGTACGCGCAGTACAAACACCCAAATATGGTCAAGTTAGAACAGAATCCAGGTTATTCTGCGCGCACTGCACAGTCCTCATCCAATGTTCCCGTCCTGTTGCTAAATCAGTCTATTAGCATGTTAGGAACTTGATCTAACTGTAACATGTTCCTAACCCTATTTATACCCTAAGTCTTCTACTGCACAACAGGCTTTTAGACAGAATATGAAGTTTTTGGGGGGTTAAAGGCCCCACCTCAGGGGCGTTTAGAAAATACGCTCCCAAAACATTTTCCAAATTCAAGCATGTAAAGCAATTATTCCACATACTTGAGAGCAGATATTTGACCTTTTCTAAATGTGCTTAATTGCAGCAGTTTTTCTGAAAAAAAGAAATTCCTCCAAGAAGCAGGTATCTGGCTAGAAGCCTGCTTGGGGGTATTGTAAGAGTGGTCATGTAATTTCCCTAGGATCAAACACACAAGAGTTCGAGAGTTGAGAGCTGACTATCACTCTGGCAATCTTGAATATTTGACACTCTTCCAGCACGTCTGCATGGAGTCATTCCTCCTCCTCCATTATTGGTACTAGCATAGGGGCCCTTTGTGGGGTGTGGTCCATATTTAGGGAGGGAGTTGGAGTTGCCTGCCCCTGCTCCCCCAGTAGTTCAGTCATTTCTATGTCATCAGGTGCTGAGTAAAATGGAGATCCCATTGAATAACGTTTGTTGTGAAAGTCTGCATGGATAAGGAGAAAATATGAATGGATGAATGAAAGGATGATATAACCAGTGTTGTTTGGCCACTTGTTTAATATGAAACAATTTCAATTTGCTATTTACAATTCAAATGCAGGCTTGAGACAAATGGCAGGGTTTTTTTTTTTCTTTCATAAGTAAAAACTGTAAATTAAGCTTGAAAAAATCCGACAAATTTATTTCACCCTAACTATCCTTGCAGCTTAGTACAAAAATCTTTCACACTTAAAATTGCAGCAGAAATGTAGCTAGAAAATTAACGTTATGTACAGTTCAGCATGGGCAAAATGAAAATATTACATTGTCAATTTTGCAACTGTGGTGTAACAGGCTTAAAAAAGTCCTCAAAAGCCTGTATCGTTAACACACCTTAGTTGCCCCAAGCACTCTTAAAGTCTTTCTTTTGTTACAGTTGTTATATGTATCAGCATTGACTATTTAGTAATGCAGTAAGCAAAAGAGAGATTGTTTGATTTGAGAGTAAGAGCAGCTATAAAATCCAACAAGGATGTTCAGCTTGGTCACTCTGTAAGAACTATCTTACACTGCTTGATAATCTAACACAGGATTGCATGCAGTTATTCTTGGTTGCACTGCACATGTTACATGTTAAGTTTGAAATGGTACAAAAAAGACTGTTTTGGTGTATAGGAAGGTCAAATGGAATGGAACTTGGAAAAAAAATTCCAATTTCCTCAATAAAGTATCAGTAACAAATCCCTGTACAGATTTAATTAATAACTGGACTTTACTAAAGCCACTCAACATCATCATATCACATGTACATGGTACATGATCAAGAATGCTTAAATCTCAATTAACATATTGTGAACTGCTTTATATATAGACCTTTCCCATATTCCACTCAAGTGTGTATAAACAAAACCAGCAGAATGAGGTTGGGGTGGACATTATTTTTCATTCATTTCTTGTACTTTTGCACACACTGATCTTAACTTGTAACCACTGCTTAATGGAATATGGGAGAGAGAAATTACAAGTAGGTATTACTAGCATTTTTCATTTACATGTGTTTATTTTAACTAATAGCCTGTTCCATGCTCTTGGTAGTTGGGGACGAGTGAAAAAAGAGGGCGATCAAGAAAAAACGAGGGAGGACTGAGGTGAGGAAGGGTGAGAGGGGCCCTCAGCGTTCCTTGCCTTAGTCCTCCCTCATTTTTTCTCACGATCACTCTCTTTTTTTTGTTTGTCCCCAACAACCGGGAGCCTGGAACAGGCTATTTAAACTATTGCTAATTGTCACCTGACAACAACTAACGCAGTTGTCAAGTAAATCAGATATTTCAAACCTGAATAATTCAACCACGCTAGAGTTAAATAACACACTTGTTTACAAAATATCAGTGCATCTGATTATGCATTATAAAATTAACACTGTCACACAGTACACTGCCTGAAAAACAGCATAGCAAAATCAAGACTCTAATGTTCACTTTTAAAGTAAACCCAGTTAAATCAAGCTTTTTATCTCGGGTTTGTAAAACGCCATTAATGTCACATTTCATGTCATTTCATTCTTATTTCCATAATTAGTTGCCAGGTAATAACAGCATTAATAAGCAACAATATTATTATTACTAAAATGAATGTGTAAATAAAGAAAGAATAATTAAAATTAAATAGCAATATTACAATTACATGCACCTTTATACAAGATGCATTGACAGGAGGTTTCGATCATTTTCACTTGAACGATTTCTACGATGGCTCTCACCCTTTTTAGGTTTCGGGGGCTTCTTTGCTGTCTTGAGGAACTGGACTAATAATCCAATGAGCACCAAAAGTGGCCACACCCCCAAAACTATCCACGAAAAGAAGCATGGCTTGAGTCCTTTAAGGTCCTTGTTAAAAACTTTTTGCCAAGTATAGTCTAACAAACGCAAGTCCTCAATGAAGTAGTCCAATCCTGCGATCATTAGTGCACCGCCATAGATTGACGATGTAACAATTAGAAGAACGCGCTTCCACCAGACACTAGCCCCTGCCAAGAGAACTGGGACTCCGATAACCACAGCCACTGGTATTGAAAGTGTTGTATAACTGTACAAGGATGAGAAACCAAGAAGGAAAGCCATCGCTAAAGAGAAGCCAGCAACAATGCCGCTAGTGAAGAGTCCACAGAAAATGACGGTGGTACACAGAATTCCTGCAAAGATTCCGACTGCAGCGGTGATTAGAAGGATGTACTGGATATCTAGTGAACTTCTGATTAGGCATATTAGGTATGTGAGAAGAGCAGCAGATGAAAATCCAGTGGCAAAAAGGGTTATTCTCTGGTACTTGAAACCTTTATGCAGAAAGAACAACAATTATTCTTCAATTAAATTTTTAAGCTCATTTGCTGAAATTGCTTGTTTCTATGTGACATCCTCATTTTTCGAACCTCCAAGGAATAAAAATCAGGTAGTTTGAGAAATGGGGACTATTAATATAATACAGTGTGGGACTGAGAGGAGAGGAATGACGTAGTTCGAGTTATCAAGGGGTTTGAAAAGTTAAGGGTTTGGTTAATGCAATTCAAGAGTTTTCATTGGCTTAGCCATCATGGTATATGAGCCATTATACCATGTGTGTAATTTTCTTTTAGGTATTTTCATTTTAGTTTAATTAGTTTTCTATATTTGGGGGGCATTAGTAGCAAGATAGAGACATTATCATTCCACTCGCACTTGTTGGATGTGAGATCACTATGGCCAACAAGGCACCTACTATCATCTCATATCCAACAAATGCTCATGAAATAACAGTTAATTATACATGGTGTCATTTCAGGATGGGGAAATTTATTCCCTGCCCCCTCAAATGATTACCACCCTTTAAAGGAAAATAACCACACCCAACACCAACAACAAAAACACCTCCCTCTATGATGGTGCTCTTGTAAGAAAACAGAAACTAGAAAATAATCGTCCCTGGCTTAATTAATATCCAAAGTGTATGGTAGTTGCCTCGTGAATGGTCGTGATTCTGTGCGCTTTATTTACTGGATACATCAGAATTTCGGTTAGCCGCCACACTTTCACTATTTCCTTGCTACACTGTAAATTTGGTAAGCATGAAACAAATTGACCCTCGTAAAGCAAATCTTCCCTACCGATCAAAAATATCGATAACTATCTGCACAGAGTACAACCTCTGACTCACAATCAAAAAGCTGTCAAATTTTTTTAGACGAAAGATTGGACCACTTCCCGAAATAATATCTCCTTGACAATTATATCTTATGTTGCTTAGGGACAGTGTTTTGTTTGTAGGAAGAAAACCCGAAGACAACATTGGAAACTAAAAACAAGAAATGAAGGACTGCTTAGACACAAACAGGAGCTGAATTAGAGTCGATGTAGAGGTTGAAAGTGATATTCTTGAGGAACCAAAACGTTTCGCGTTGAACAGACGGACGGAAGTGGAGTGACGAAGTCGATTTCTTTTGTTATTTGGTGAGAACACCCACGCAAACCAAACAATAGATCTGAGCCAATAAAATGTAAATTAGACAAAATGAGTCATTCCACGTTTTAGGTTTTATCTACATGTACCACCGCTATATTTTAATATGTGGATGAATAAAAAATTTACTTTTTCAATCTCTGTACTAAACACGGCGCTGTGGTATCTCTCACAATAAATATTTGGCTATCTGAAATGAAAGTTAGCGTGTTCTACTCGCCCATGCAAATACTGTTAAAAGCAGAATAATAAAAGTGCAATCCTGTTAAGACATTCTATTCCGAAACGTGTGAAAACAAGCAAACGTGGCCTAAACAGCTTACAAGAGATATCCTAAACAACCCGTGGCAGCTCGTTAAGGACTCGAAAAATTACTCTGTTGTGATAAAATGGGCTATCGTTATCGGATCAAAGTCGCGAGTTTCTGGAAAACATCTCGGACGATCATTTGAAAAATATATAAACCTCCTACTGGAACAGGATCTTTTACCCAACCACAAATACTTACAACGTCTGTTCTCCTAAATCCCTTTGATTGTTTCGGTTTCGTTTAGAATAGCTTATGTACTTTCAAAATCTTTTTCGTGATCAACGCCGTGTTGTGAACAGTGTATCTTTGGTGAGATCTGTAGCCTCACCTATTTACAAATGAATAACATACAAGAAGGGTTTTTATCCTCACCGACAATGACGTGGAATCCACCGATTAGTATACAAAGCGAACAAGCAATTCCTGGTCCATAAGTGATGGGAAATTCGAGGTCTTTCCACTCACAGCTAAAGGGTTTATCCGAAGTTTTATTTGATGGGTTATTTGTCGTAGTATCCGATGTGTTATTCGAAGCCGCGGCGGTCGAAGAAATCCAGTAGAGGGCCAACACCAGCGCGCGCAATGGCGAAAAGAAAACGCGTCGAGATCTCCCAATCTACAGTTCAACAGAAATCCAGAAGTGTAATTAGTGAGCAAACAATGAGAGAGTGGCCGAACGTACTCAGCGAACCTTCAGAAATCAAAGCCGCCATACTCACCATTTTGCCGATGCGACGGTCTTAACTTCTTTGTGTACAACAAAATTATACAACAGATTGGATCTTCATCAAGCCCGGGCAGAGATCGTTTCAGCAGAAAAAAGATGGTATTTTTTCTTCCGTCGTTAGATTGTACTTCGATCTACCTATATCAAGAATCAGCAAGACCCAACAGTTAGGCAGTATATTCGTTTGGTACCGCAGCGCCGATGTATATTGCATTACCATTGAAGCGATCGACGTGAAGGCGTATTACAAATTAATTTCGGCCATGCATGCAGATATCATGAATAATTAACGTGACGTGTCACGCATTCTTTGAAAAAAATCGACTTTTGGAAAGTGTACGAGCCAGCGTGCTGGGATTATCAGCTAGACAGTCTTCAGTGTGGATTGTTTTTCGAGCAGTTTTTTTCTAACGTTTACCCGTGATATTATAACAACTCTCATGTCGTGATTTCATTTTCATTTTCGTTTTCATTTTGCATTTTTCTGTCCCAAACATATGCCGGCTCCTGTTCCAAATTAATTTAATCGGACTGAAACCGCAATCACTAAGATTATTACATAACACAGAAAACGGAAAACAGAAAACGAAAAACAATTTTACCTTAAAGTTCTATTTTATTAAAAACTGCAAGAAAAATATATATGACAACTAAACATGATAAAACTAGGTGTAGATTCGTGATGACTATAGTGGGAGCGCCGCCATCTTTACAGTTTTAAAAAAGTGGATCGGCCATCGGACTTTGTGACTTTCTCAGACAATTGGTAAGTTGATCTTAAAAAGATTTTTTTTCCTTTAGACTGGACACTGTATCCAATGAGATATTATAATACTTAGTAAAGGGAAACTGTATCGCAGTCCATCTTGATCAAGTCACCGCTGACATGAGCTGACAAGAAAACTGATCCTACTCGAAGAGAAAATGAACCACGAAAAAAATTTAAAATCACTCCCTTCAATTTGTCGTTTCATGTAGTCTACGATAACAGAGTCCACAAAGCACCTGCTTTCATTGACAGCATACACAAAAGGAAATTGCAAATAACAGGCTACTCTATGAATTGACTCCCTCCCCCATAACAACCATCATTTCCCGCCCGAACCCCCCCCCCGCCCAAGACGCTAAAGACGAGAAAAGACGTACAAAGAGGGAGAAAAGGTTTCTTCATT